CGATACTCCTCTCGCTCCGCTTTCCTCCTCCGCAGAGGAGCAGGGACGTAGGCCGTCTGATTGCTTTTGTTCGGGAGGTACTGGTTGAAAGGCACTGCCGACTTGGGCTCACCGTGGGAAGTCCGCCGTGCAGACATGTCATCCTTCTTCACATCCGGCAGCTTCCGGTGTGGCAAGTCGGACTCAGAGTCACTTCCTCTCCCTAGGGATGAGAGGGGGGATGCTGAAAAAGTGGGTGGGGCTGGCAGTAGGATTGGCGCATCCCCATCCTCAACTTGGACATTCAAAATGCTCCAAAATCTAAAACTTTTTTGAGCACCAATATGATGTCACAAATGGAAAATGTCACACCTAACCACATGAGATGGGTTGCCATCAAAGAACTGCAGTACAAAAGTATTGTATAAAAGGAATCAGCAGTTGGCGTAATGGCTATATCGCTGGATTCCCATGGGGTCAACCGCAGTTCGTGTCCCAGACCCGGTGGCTTAAAACTCACACCGGGCGCGTGTGCGTGCGTGCCCAAGATCCTGAGAGGAGAACGGAGGAGAAGGGATTGTGGCGTGACTATCCCCCCTGGGGGGTGATTTCTCACTTTCTGTCTCTCTCTGTCTGACAAATGCATGCACCCTATAGCAAAAAAACTCTCAAAAAAAAAGTATCGTATAAAATTACTGGTGTGCTATGTATAAGATAGAGACAAATGCCAATGAAGGTTGTGTGTAGATGTGGGTTCCATTCCCAAGGCATTTCATCACATACAATGAAAATCCCGCAAACTAAAATAAAAAATAAAAAATAATCCGAAATCTGAAACACTCTGGTCCCAAGCATTTCGGATAAGAGAAACTCAGTTTGTTTTAGATCTTTGGTTAAATCTTGGGTTCTAAGGATTTCTTCCTTAAATTGTTCACTGAACAAATATAAAATATCAGTCAGAATTAGTCTATTTGGGGAAAAATTCTCAATTCTAATCAGAGCATAAAAATAAAAATAAAAAAGCACCAAATTAAAAGTAAAAATTAAAGGTAAGCCGGGACCAGCAGTTAGCGTAATGGCTATGTCGCTGCACTCCCAATACAGTTTGAGACTTTCTTTCAGTGCACAATAGTTCATGTATTGTAGATTTCGCACACACAGTAAGGGACAGAAACTGGAATCTTGGTGCTGTCACTAACCAGCTATGGAGAAGGGGCTCCTTCAACCTCTCTGAGCCTGTTTCTGGCTTTATGAAATGGGTCCCCAAGCCTAAGAGTTTGTCAAGGGAAAGGAGGATTAGTATTCATTTGTGAAGCAATTCATGGGGGGGTTCTTGCACACAGATACACTTGTTAAAAGACTTGGGCAGGGCCCAGCAGTTAGCGTAATGGCTATGTCCGGGGAGTTCTTGCACATAGATACACTTGTTAAAAGATTTGGGCTGGGATCAGCAGTTAGCGTAATGGCTATGTCACTGGACTCCCATGTACTCGACCATGGTTCGAGCCTCGGACCTGGTGGCTTAAACTCACGCCAGGCACGTGTGCGTGCGTGCCCAAGATCCCGAGAGGAGAATGGAGGAGAAGGGATTGCGGTGTGACCATCCCCCCTGGGGGGTGATTTCTCACTTTCTGTCTCTCTCTGTCTGTCTGGCGAGCGCACGCGCCCTATAGCGAAAACCTCTCAAAAAAAAAAAAAAAAGAAGACTTGGGCTTGGACAGGAACAAAGTCATGAATCAAATATTAGCAAGTAATGAAATGGTCAGGACTTCAGAAGGGACATGGGCAGCCAATGGCCTACAGAACTCAGACACTGAGTATTTCATCTACAACAATGAACAACTTCTTTATGGTCAGTGCTGGTCACTTCTCCGGTTTTTAAAAAGCCATTATGTTATTTCATCTCCAGGGCAAATTATTTCATTCCTGTTTTCCAGAAAAGGACAGACGAGTGTGTTAGGGACCCGCCGAGGAGCCCGCAGCTCGTTTCCGGCAGATCTAGGATTATTTAGGGCATAAAGAATAGCCAGCATTTACCCGACACTTGCCCTGCGCCCAGCATGTACCGAGTCTTACCCGTATCCGTTCCCTCCAACGGCCCTTCGGGTGTAGACGGTGCTATGATCCCCAGTTTGCCAAGAGGGAAACTGAATCTTAAAACGGTGAAGTAACATAGTTGGTGAATAGCTGAGCTCGAAATGAATGAATCGGACTTAGAACCTGTGAGCTGCTCCCCCTGCAGACTGTCACGTCTCTTGGTTCTTAGCTTAAGACTCCTCTTGAATGTAAATAGGCATATTCTACTTGTTACCAACAGAGTGAATAATCGGGTAGTGCTGTCATTGATGGACAGTTTTCAGCCTGCACTGGCCCAGCCATGGTAGCCACGCTGCTTGATGCTCTTATTGGATGGGCTGAGGCCACATGGAAGGTCCGGGTTCGATTCCTGCCATGCCTCTAAAAGCCAGGTAACATGGTGCTTGTCTGTGGTCCCAGTGACCTAGGAAACTAATGCAGGAGGATTGCCACATGGCAAGACCCTGTCTGGGGAAGAAGAAAGAAGAAGAAGGAGAAGGAGGAGGAGGAGGAGGAGGAGGAGGAAGAGGAGGAGAAGGAGAAGAAGAAGGTTTTCAACTAGAATTAAAATGGCAACTACGTGTAGTGGATGCTTTACTGACTGCTTCATTCCCATAGATCTTAGAAATCTGGGACCAGCAGATGGCATAATGGCTATGTGGTTGAACTCCAATGTAGAAAACCACAGTTCGAGTCCCGGACCCGGTGGCTTAAACTCACACTGGGCGCGCGTGCATGTGTGCCCAAGATCTCAAGAGAAGAATGGAGGAGAAGGAATTGCGGTATGGCCATCCCCCCTGGGGGGTGATTTCTCACTTTCTGTCTCTCTGTCTCTCTCTGTCTCTTTGGCAGAGGAACGCACCCTAAAGCAAAACCTCTCCAAAAAAAATAAATAAATAAAAAATAAGAAGGAGAGAGAAAGAAATCTAATGAGGCGAGGCTCAGGAAATAAAGGCACAGTATAATCTTGGGGCTGTTGTCCAAAGAAGGGTGACGGGTTAGCAACATCACATTTTTTGTGTGTCTTAAACACATTGTACTTAGGCCAGCCCATGGCATGGAGAGTGTGATGGCTGACAGCCTGTTCCAGTCCTGGACCCAGGGGCTTGAAAAACACACTAAACATATGTGCATGCCTGCCCCAAAAATTCCGAAGAGGAGAATGAAAAAGAGACTATAGTGTGGCCATTCCCCCTGGAGGTTGAGTTCTCACTTTCTTTCTAACTCTGGTGAGCATACACACCCTATAGCAAACCAAAAAAAGCGTGCGCGCACGCGCGCACACACACACACAGTAGCAAACTAAATAAAGCGTGCATGCACACACACACACACACACACACGAAGCTAAACCAGCTCATTTATCCTTCAGATCATCTGAGGATGCCCACGGTGTTCAAGGCGATGCGAAAGAACCGTGGATATTGTGAAGCGCTCGCTCTCAAAGTCAGATAGGAGCAGGCTCTGTGGCACAGCGGTGAGGCTCTGCTCATGGGAAGCCGGACCCCACGTGGTGACGTAGGGCGAACCCTTGACCTGACGTACATCACGCATGTGTGTGTGAGTCTCAGCTCTGCCAGGCTGGAGGTTTGCAGGGAGGGACGCACAGCACGGGCAGACCCTGTGGAGCTTCTCATGTTGCTCCTTCTTCTTCCCTCGTATTCTTGTGTGTGGGGGTACGCAGTCTAGCATGAGTAAAGAAAAACACTGTGTAGTAAAAATCATATGCCAAAAGAAAAGACAAGCCCCTAGGGCCACAGGGTACAGAGGAAGAAAAGGTCACTTCAGCTCAGGGAAGCAGCAAGCGCTCCCATGCAACTGAATTTGCATTTATTTATTTATTTTTAAGGTGTTTGCCATAGGGTGGCGCTCTCTAGAGAGAGAAGGGAAATGAGAAATCACCCTCCATGAGGGATAGCCAAATTACAGTCTCCTCTCCTCCATTCTCCTGGGATTTGGAGCATGCACATACATGTGTCCAGCATGATTTTCAGCCCACCAGGTCCGGGACTCGAACCACGGTTGACCATGTGGGAGTCCAGCGCCTTAACCACCATACCACCTGCTAGCCCCACGAATATGCATTTATTATAACTCAACCTCGTTCCTAGAGGCAAACTCTTGGTATAATCCAAATGGGACACTTTTCTGAATTTCTACTGTCCTTATACATCTGTGTTCCTTGGTTGTAACTTGTATTCTTTATGTAGTCTGTGTGTTAATTAAAGGCACATCAATGACCAAATCCTTTATAATTCTTATTTGGCAAAATATCCACCAGAGTATGAGACATGCAGCAGGTGTTCAGTAAATATGCCGTTAGTCATCTTGGCCTTTTCTTTTTGAGAGTGGCAGAATCTCAGTAGGCATAGAGTTCCATTACAAATATATTGCCAATTGTAATTTCCTGACGCGGTTAGGGAATTTGATTCATGACTTTGTTCCCACCCAAGCCCATCTTTTAACAAGTGTATCTGTATCCAAGAACTTGCTTCACAAATGAATACTAATCCCACTTTCCCCAAACTCTTCAGTTTGGGGACCCATTTCATAAAGCCAGAAAGAGGCTCAGAAAGGTTGAAGGAGCCTCTTCTCCATGGCTGGTTAGTGACAACACCAAGATTCCAGTTTCTGTCCCTCACTGTGTGTGCGAAATCTAAAATGCATGAACTATTGTGCACTGAATGAAAGTCACAAACGATATTGTCTAACACATAAAGAAATAACTTCCCCCCATTATACTTTGTTTTTCTTGGAGAAATTTTTGCTATAGGGCGTGTGCACTCGCTAGAAAGACAGAGAGAGACAGAGAGACAGAAAGCAAGAAATCACCCCCCCAGTGGGGATGGCCACGCCGCAATCCCTTCTCCTCCATTCTCCTCTCGGGATCTTGGGCATGCACGCACACTCACCCAGCATGACGTTTAAGTCACCGGGCCCGGGACTCAAACCGTGGTTGACTACATGGGAGTCCACCAACATAGCCATTATGCTAACTGCTGGTCCCCTAACTCTTTCCTTTTTAATGCCCCTCCAGCATTTTATCTCATTCCTTCTCTCTTTTAACTCATCTTCCATATAAAAGATAAGAAAACGCAACACAATTTATAAAATATGCTCTGAATTTCAAAAACCACCTGAGTGAAAGTTTTGAATTTCCTTGTCAAGGAAGCCGATTAAGTGGCCTCAGAAGGGCTGCTAGTGAAGGCGTGGAAATTAGGCATCTATTAGTAAAACTGATCAGCAGAATCAACACTGGGGTCTCCAGCATCCCTTCGCCATAGCTCTTGTGTCCAACCACAGAACCGTGGCACCTTTCATGAGTCTGGCTCCCCACCATCTTTACTGCACAGGTCAGCAGGCCTCAATAATAACGAAATGAAAGATCTCCATATTGACCCAACACACGGTTGAAGAATTTCATGGCACAACTTTCCCTAAATGATCGCAAATCCTAGGGAATACGTTTTTAAGACTTAACAAAAGCGTTCTCCCAGATCTGGAAATGTTTCTTAAGACAAGTAATCTTCTTGATTAGCATCCCTTTAAAAAAAATACCATAAACACTTACAAAATACAACATCTACTTGGTTCAAAGGGTATGACTTTTTAAAAGGCAAATTAAAAAGTGTCGTTCTTCTTTAAAAACCTAATAGGTCTTGATTAGTTTACGAGAACATAAGCCTTAAGGTTATTGGGCTGATTGGTGACATTTGTGTGTAAGATGCTCTTTCATGGATGGTGTTTTATGAAACTCATTTCATGTCCTTCCTTAATAGAGAAAACATTTATAAAAGCAGTCTAACTTATCATTCTTAATTGCCACAACTAAATTGTACCTCAGTAGATATTAGTAATCACCAACTCAAATCCCTTCAAGATGTGGTTCATTATCAACTCTGAACCCCTTGAAGCTGGTAACGGAACAAATAATTGATGTTACCAGCTAGGCGAAAAAAAAAAAAAGGGTGAACAAAATGCCATAAATTGAAAAAAAAAATCAAAGCTGGTAATGGAACAAATAATCAACATTACCAGCTAGGCAAAAAAAAAGGGTGAGCAAAATGCCATAAATTGAAAAAAAAAATCAAAATAATGTGGATGAAATCATTGGGTTAAAATATATGTTTTATTGACTGGGACCAGCAGTTGGTGTAATGGCTATGTCACTGGACTCCCATGTAGTTGACCGCAGTTCGAGTCCCAGACCTGGTGGGCTTAAACTCACGCCGGGAGCGTCTGCATATGTGCCCAAAATCCCGAGAGGAGAATGGAGAAGAAGGGATTGCGGTGTGGCCATCCTCCCTGGGGGGTGATTTCTCACTTTCTGTCTCTCTGTCTCTCTCTTTCTTTCTGGCGAGCACACACACCCTATAGCAAAAACCTCTCCAAAAAAAAAAAAGAATAAAAAATATGTTTTATTTACATAAATCTACTTTTTTTGGTTATGTAAAAGCCCAAGTAGATCACAAACACGATATTTCACTTCTAATACTGTGGGTGGTACTTCAGAGGTCAAATAAAATCTTAGCAATGTTTTTCGAACCACTCACAGTGGACCACGGGATTCTTGAGGAGTCACATACTGTGTGGCCCCGAGGCTACTCTATTCACTGGGAAGCTGAGATCTCACATCAATCTACACAAAAGCATTGGCTTGGTTATTCCAGAATAAAACACCTATTGGACAAAGAGAAAGGCGCACGGGTACATGAAGCTCAAGATCCTACATTCTGGACTCACGTCTAGAGGCTAATGTTGCTGCTATTTACTGACAGTGGGTTTTGTCACTTAAGAATGCTGGGCAACTACTGAATCTCTCTAAGGCTCATTCATAAGAGTAAGGAGTATCTCATATCTCTGGACAAGGTGCGAGTGAGATACCGTGTGAGTCTCTTGGAGGTCCGTGCTAAGGACTAAATGAGATACCATGCACTGAAGCAATTAACTTGGGACCTGGCCACATGAGCTACTCAGGTATTTTGTTTTTATTTTTCTTTATTTTTCTTTTTTTGGAGAGGTTTATTGCTATAGAGTGTGTGCGCTCGCCAGAAAGACAGACAGACAGAAAGCGAGAAATCACCCCACGGGAGGGGATGGTCTCGCCACAATCCCTTTTCCTCCATTCTCCTCTTGGGATCTTGGGCACACACGCACACGCGCCCGGCATGAGTTTAAGCCACTGGGTCCGGGACTTAAACCACGACTGACTACATGGGAGTCCAGCGACATAGCCATTATGCTAACTGCTGGTCCCCTACTCAGGTATTTTAGTAACAAAATTTTATAACTGAGATGGATCTTGTGGACCCAAAAGATAATTTTGATATCAGATAGTAGACCTATGTCTAGCAATATTATCATCAATCAAACAGTACATAAAAAATAGAAACAAAAAGATTCCCCACCAGCCTCGGAGTCTTTCTGTAAATTGCAACATGCAGAGCAATGCCACCCGCCTGTCCTCCACGTACAAAGGTGAAATAAGACATAAAGAAGCCCAACAACTTCTGAGAAAGTAGTTACAGCTCTATCAGGTTCCATGACCCTGTATTTATAGAAAATGATCATTCCTTACACATGATATAAAATCCATGGGATTTCAATGAAACTCGGCCCTGGGGACCGACAGCCAGCCAGGTCGTGCACTGCTCATAATGGCCACCTACAATGTATTTGCCGATCGGTCAGCTCCCAAGCCTCAGAGCACCCCAAACCATGGCAGCTGAAGTTGCCAGTCCCCAGCTTCAGAACCTTCCGGAGCGTAAGGCACGCATTTCCAGTCTGCTGGGGGCTGTTCCACCCTCACGGACACAGTGGGGCGCTCACCCCCACTCTCCTCGTACGCAGAGTATATAAACCCCCTAGCACACTTTATGAGCTCATGGTCTGCACAGCGTCCTGAGTCACTGAGACCGAGGGACGGATGATGTCACACATTTTCCAATAGCAGATCCGTTCACTGAGGCAATGCTCAAACAAACTGCTGGCAAAGCCAACCCAAACTCGACGGACCATAAAAAGCAACACTCAAAGCCCTTCCCCCCAGCTTAGAATGACCGGGTTCCAGGAAGAGACGAAGTCCACCCTCCCAGCACCCATCCCCCTGCCAGCGACAATGCAACCCCAACCATGGGTGATGCCAAGGGGCGCGGTGTGTGTAGACGCCGACCTACCATCGCTGCTCCCCCTGAGGACTACATCTGGAGAAGGTGTCTGCCGGGAGCGGGAGCCGAAGGAGTCCAGGCTGTCGAAGGAGTCATCCCTGCCGTGGCGAGGGGGTGACAGAGAGTCGCTGCGCTCGGAATCCCAGCAGTCGATGTAGCCGCTGTCTCGGATGCTGCGTTTAGGACTCTCGATGTCTTCAGTCTCCTGTGCAAAAAAAAAAAAAAAAAAAAAAAAAAAAAAAAAAAAAAAAATCAAAGCATTGCAGGCATTACTGCAACCGATTGCCAGCCTTCTGCAGATCAGCCTGGAGAGGAGGGTGGAGGCAACCAGTCCCGGGACCCACAGCAGGCCCAAGTCACCACCAAGTCACCGATTCAATCCTCACCCATCCCTGCAGCAAGTTCCCCAATCAGAAAATCAGCCCCAATAACTCACACTGCATCATGTCTTTTTTTTTTTTAAATGAAAAGGACTCAAGGCATGAAGCAGAAAGGATCTGAACATCTACATTCACAAGGGTACAAGGCGAGGTGGAAATCAACATGAGAAAGCACAACGTTAACCTTGACCTGTCTTTCCGAATCCATGGCTGCATGTCTGCCCGGAGCCAGCCCCAGTCCAGCTCACCACAGCCTTGCCCGGTTCTCTGGCAGACCCCGCCCCCGGCCGTGCCTGCTGTAGACTCAGTCCTGCAAGATCCTGGAGCTGCAGGCCATCCCCTGCGACCTCGGAGGGAAATTCCTGCTCTGAAAGGGAGCTGTCTTTTTGAGGCAAGAAGTTAAAAAAAAAAAAAAAAAACAGGAAAAGAAAAAAAAAAAAACACT